TTAGAATGATGCGAGTTGATTTCTGCAGTTTCTATTCAAGACTACTGTATGTTCTAGAGGATTTGGTGTTGGAATTTTTTTTTCGAAAAAACTCGCATAAAATGACTACGCTTGAGTTTCATATTGTTAAGGAGTAAATATGAAACCAGGAAAAATTATTTCAGGTTGTATTACTGCTGAGTGAAGTGACTGATAGTAATTTACAAAATGTCTTACATGTTACCGCATTTGAGTAATGGCTGGCAGGTGGATCAATCAATTCTGGCCGAAGAAGATCGTGCTGTTTTGATTCGATTTGGTCACGATTGGGATCCGAGTTGTATGCGTATGGATGAGGTTTTTACTTGTTTAATTTAAAATACTTATTCACAGAAGGAACTCATTGAAGTGGCGTTGTTTTATTGTCATCAAAAATTAATATTTTTAAAATGTTATTTTCACCATTTAATATATATGTATATATTAGTGTTAGAGTTGGTTCATCAACCAACGCTCAGAATTTGCCTTGTTGATGGCCACCAGAGAAACGTTTCAGCTCCTATCGATATTTTATCTTGTCATATAACTGACGATAAATTTGCTTTTCAGACTCTATACAAAATAGCAAATAAAGTGAAGAATTTTGCGGTTATATATTTGGTTGATACAACTGAAGTACCAGATTTCAATAAAATGTATGAGTTATACGATCCTTGCACTGTTATGTTCTTCTTCAGGAATAAACACATCATGGTCGATTTAGGTGAGACATTGTACCATTGTCATTCATGTTGCTTATTTGTTTTGATTCGTTCACTTTTGAAATTGTTTCATATTCGTCGGTTACTTACCCATTCTGCCATTATTTTTTGTTATTCTGCCATCATTTCTGAATTCCTCTTCGAAGAAATATTCGATGACGATTTAATCAATTCCAATTCATTCATAAAAACATCTTAGACGATGAGTGCGCTCGAAATTTTTGATTGAATTGTTTATTAGCCACGTATTATTAGTCTGTGACACTGAAATTAAAATGCCGCCATCTTCATAGTATTTTATGATATTTCAAAACGATTCTTCTTATTGAATCTTCAGGTACCGGTAATAACAATAAAATCAACTGGCCAATAACGGACGGTCAAGAATTGATTGATATATTGGAAACAGTTTATCGAGGTGCGCGAAAGGGTCGTGGTTTAGTTGTTTCACCGAAGGATTATTCCACCAAATACAAATATTAATTATTTGTCTACGAATGCTGAAGTTGATCATCAATCGAAAGCAAAACAATTCAAAAACATTCTCGTATCAGACACTATGTTCATTTATCGCAATGCCAGTTGAATTGTTACGTTATGTAATACTCAGCAGTGTAATTGATGCAACATACTGTTGTTCTTTGTTCGATTAAAAGAAGTAAAGTTGATTGTCACTTGTGATGTGTTTATTGACTTCACTATTTTAATAAACCACTTAAAAAATAGGCTGTTCTCAATCGGACTGTTGTATCATTAATAGTCTGGTACGAATAAGGAATAAACAACAGTGTTTTACTAGTTTTAATTCAGAGAAATGGCAGATCGACTGACACATTTGCAAGATTTAGTTAATGAATTACCTGAGCAAATGTGTAACTCGGTTGGGGATTACAACGATCGGCTCCTTGATGCGATTTCAATTGCACTTCAAAGGTTGACACTCTTCTATGCGTTAAGAAACAAATATTTTCGTGTCTTTATTTGAATAGTACTTCTGATACTTTGTCATCGTCATTGCTTCAGTTTCTTGAAACCTTCCGAAGTGAAATTCCTGAAAGCAGATTC